GCACATCGGTTCTTTGTCCACTCAAACATTCTCCAGGCTCGCTAGTTTCCTCCTGTTCAACTCATGAGCTAGGTCGTTCATCATGTTGATTTCACCTAGATAGACGTAACTGGAGCATTCAAAGATTTTCGTTCCGTTCAGCGTAAATTGGGGCACTCAAAACCCATCCATTCTTCATGAACATCGTTTTCGTTAGAATTAGTTGAATACCAATCTTTCCACAGGCGTTGTCGAAATCGGTCAACATTCGTTTCGCTTGTCTGATGCTTGGTGTTATGAGAGCGCTATCGTCAGCAAAGCGAAGATGGTTCAAATGTTCGACCGTCAATTTCACTCCCTCTCCGTCCCATTCTAATGTTCGTATGACGTTTTGGAGGGGTGGCAGTAAATAAATTTGGCGAAAATGTATCGCCTTGTCGAACCACTCTTCTTACGTCGATGGTGATACTGTTGAATGGAGATATTTTGGTAGTGTAAAATTTTATATTTCTCACGGAGGATCATTATGTACCGAGTAGGGATGCCTTGGTTATCCAGAGCCTCCATAGCGGCTTCTGTTTCCACTGAATCAAAGACTTTCTCAAAATCAGTGAAAGTAAGACAGAGGGGTAGTTTGTACTGTCACGTAACTTTAATGAGTCTTGTGATCGTGTGGATGTGGTCTATGGTACTAAATCCTTTTCGGAAACCTGCTTGTTGGCATAGTTGCCCTTCGTCCAGTGTACCGTCAATACTTTTTAGAATGACTGGAGTAAAGAGTTCATAGACAACGCTTAACAAGCAGATTGGGCAATAATTCCCTATGTCGGAAAGGTCTCCCTTTTTGAGCAACAACACGGTTTTGCTGGTTTTCGATTGATTGGAAACCTTGCATTCTGACAGGTAGCAGAGCTGAGCCAGGGTGAGGAGTGGCGGTAGGTTCCTCAAGTAATCTCGTCTAATCCTGTCTGGACGAGGTGTTCATCAATCTTCACCGACGATAAAAATCATGTCGGATTTCGCAAGGAAGGACCGGTGGAACGACAGATCCATCCTTCTTCAATATATATGGCGGTAAGCGGACATGGCTAGCGAAGAAACACGAGTAGTACTGGTGGGTAACTTTCTCCACTGCCCTTCTGGAAACTGTAGGTGTTCGTCAAGGAGTCGGAGTGCGATCATCTTACTCTTATGATTATAAATATAAAAAATATCTTACTACTTATGATTATAAATATAAATATAGTGGCGTAATAGCTGCAGACCAAGCAAACGGCAGTCGGCAATCAGCCACTCTGAAGAACTTCACAGTAATCCTCTCACCGTACGTTGAGCAAATATTTCAACGTCCAATCTTCTGTGTAGGGAGTATATACCCGAAGAACTGACTGGACGAAAGGCACCGTACAAGTGATGACGCTGACATTGCGGAACACGTGTGTAGCGCTTTATAAGTGCCATAATAGACTCATCGAACTGAATTGAACGACAAAGCCTCGCTGGGGCTTTGCGAATGCTTTTCCCAGCTCCTGCTATAACTGCTGCTCTTCTCTCTTTGAGGTCTTCTTTTATCGCTTCTCTACAGCGTTTTGTAAGTTCGGACGTAAGGTTACGGTTGCTTGCAGCTCGTGCGATTCCACGGTGACGTATCAGCTCGAGTGTCTGCGAAGACAAGTGCCTCTTCGTGACTTCAGAACTTTCGGCTTTTATTGCGCTAACGTGAAGATATTCAACGAACTGGTCTTATTCCTCGTCGATGTTGTCGACAATGGTGTATCTTCCCAACGGTTGACTAATGACTTGAATATATCCTAATTCATGGTAGTTCTGGGACATCTTTGTTGAAATTTAGCGGCTTTTTTCTTAGTACGAGAGAAATGAATCGTTACGCAAAAGAGGCGATGGTGTGATTCCGTGTAGAACATGGTAACAATAGGACATCGATCAGGCAAAACCTTAGATTTACTAAGATATGAAGTACTTCGTTATGTTAGTCTCCATTGGGAGACTCCCACGTCCATCGCTGAGAGTGAGGCTTTTAGAATTGTGAGTTACCATGGATGGTTTGGGTCGTCATGATAAATTCATACAGCCTCTCACCCGTGTCCATTCCATTCTAGTGCGTGGGTTCCAACGTGAGGTTTTTCAGATGTTCTCTCAGGGTTCAATTTTCGCGTTAAAATTTCCCACAATGACCTTGAAGAAAGTATGGCCTCCTCTGAAGAAGTTTTCGAGGTCTATATATCTGAAGAAGTTTTCGAGGTCTATATAAAACTCCTCAACCTCTCATCGTCATAGCCTGATGATGGTGCGTAAGCAACGAAGATGGTCAAAACCTGCATTGAACAACATCGTTTCAACCGTAATCGTCCGATAAGGGTTGCTAGATGTTTGAACGAATCGGTGTTCACGGTCAAATTCAATTTGACGAAGACGCCAACGCCGCCGACACTTCTGTTGTCTCATGCTCCTAAAAAAGTTCTTCTGCGGTGTCATAAACAGCGTGAAAAGAATAGGGTCTTCTCGTCTCAGCCAGGCCAATGGCGCCGTGCCTTCTCCTCCTTGTTTGGATCAATAGATCTTCTATAGCGGATTCCTTAGCAAACGTTCCTGCATTGCAGGTGCAGGTCATTTCAGTCCGCTTCGCTTTTGGCAGTTGAGTCTGGCCCTGAGATTTAGCAGCCTCTCCACACTACCTGGAGCGGTCGTACCAGGAGCTCCTTCGGGTCAGGAGAATGAGGTCCCCAATTTTCCGGTTCTTTTCAATTTGATACCCAACGTATAGCTTGCTAGGCTTTAAGCATCGGGGCTGGGTACTCACAGGTAGCTTGCAAGTCTCTCTCTCTATCTGAGGAGCTAGAGGAGCTTATTTGTTGAAGGCGACTCTTAAACCGGTTCCTATGCACTCCTCAGCTGCTTTATTGCAGGCTTTTGGCCGACTTGACTCGTTGAAATAGAGTTCTTTCAAATCGGCGATGCAGAAGCAAGGAGCTCATCCTCTAAATCCACCTGCGTCTCTGGAAAGCACACGGTCGCTTTGGTTTCACGTTTATATCCCTATCCACCACCTGGGAACGCGCCACGTGCTTTCGCGACTAACCGGGCGGGATACCTCAAAGAGGGAGGTGCGTGGATAAAAATGTAGTCATTTAATTATATATCTTTCGTCTTAGCGAAGTTCTCCTAATATCAATACTACTAATAGGTAATATTAGATAGATGAATAGAATCTGTTTTGATCAAGACATCGAACGGCTACAAAATATGAGTGGAAATGAGGTAAAAATTGTCTCCTAAGATCATATCCTTCGCTTCGTATGATTCCTTAAGACCATGCTCAAGTTCCAATATGTAAGGGTTTGGCTCCTCCCTGGAGGATTGACCCGGCAGGATTGACAAAGAAGACTAAGAGACGGCTCAACTGACGAGGCTGCCACAAGACCGAAACACGTGTATTGTAGAAGTGCTCAAAACAGATCACATGCATTGCTTAAAAAGTAATTATCAGAAAGGTTGAATCACCTGTATCACCTGTCGTCCCGTTCATCGCCGAGTGACTCGAGCGGGTACCAGCAACTCTTCCATTTTTCCCTATCTCGTCCAAGAGTAGCCCAGTGGGTCCTCTTCGCTCTAGGGATTCGCTGAACATCATATCATTCTTCTATCGCTTTCGTGAAACAAACGGACCAGCGGGTCAATGCTTTTCCTCTAGAGCGCTTGACGTCCCAAGGAATCCAGTCGGTAAGGCCTTTCGTCCATCAGTTGTAGTTGAAGCGCATCACGTGTCCGGCCCACCTCTTTTTTGATATCCTGGCATGTAGAAATATCCTGAGACGCCGTTCTACAGGCCAGGAAAGGTTGCATAGGAGCTGAAAATATACTCTTATTTACAACTATGTGGTTTTTTAGTTAAAAGATTGTGATTTTTACGACACATGCGCTTTTCTAAAAGAAGAACCCTTATGATATCTTTCCAGTTATATTTCATCATATTCTAACGACAATGCTGCTTATGATCGGAGTTTGCCCAATAAACATCATAATTTTGTTGGAGGCGCTCCAGTACAAACCAATCTCGAGATATGACCCCAATAATTCAGTAGGGGACCACGGCGCACCACCACTCGCCCTCATCAGAATGGGTGACTCGGTACTCAAAAAGTTAAATCGTTTCCACGAACGGCTATGCTAAAAGTGTGTAATATCTGCACCTGCAAAGATTCAGATGGACACAGTGATGACGATATATAGACTTCATCTGCTTCCAATAGTTTATTTTGGAGCACAAAAGGTTTTTCTTGAACTTATTGAAACCAATCGACACCTAACTAATGCAGATGCTATCTCAGGTGTTCACTATGGAAACATGACTTATTCGTAATTACCCACTTAATTATCCGCAAAAAAACCGTTTTCGGGCGACTTTTTTTTGCTAAGCGGAATATTATTGCTGAGGAAGAGGATGGGTAGAGCAGTGATCAGACAAATAGAATGAATTTGGGAAAAAAGGAAGTCATTGTAATTTGTCTTAAGAGTCTCGGTAAATAATCAAGATGAGAATTACTAAAAGCATAGCTTTTTAAGACAGCTGGGATTTCACATTTGTATTCAATAAGGTATAGCGTGATTCGAAAATGTCTGGGAAAAACGTCTCTTTTAAACTCTATGTGAGTTGTTCGCAGTAGTCTCGGTTAGGTCGAACACATTTAACATTCCAACGATTATGCTTCGTATTTATTACCGAAATAGATGTTTTTAGCAGAGCTAGGAAAAGTGCAAAATAGAGAAAGCATGATGTCTCAAAGTAATGAGAATCAAAATTAAATAAAACCACTACTGTAAGCACTAAATGTTGTATGTGAACCACTTATTCTAATCTAGGCTGCTGATATTACGTCTATATATATATATAATATATATATATAATATATATATGTATATATATATTAAGTATATATATTATATCATATATTATATATATTACGTCTATAAAAACGGAGAAAGAATGGAGTGCAAAGCGAGCGTCGGTGGTGCAGCGGTTTAGCACATGTTCCCGGAAAGAGTAAGATCTGGGTTCGAATTCCGGCCGACGTAAACGTTCTTGCACATCACTCTACATTATTGGGTATATATATATATATATATATATATATATATACATTATATATATACATTTGTCGCACATTTTGAGTGATTTTCAGAATTTTTCAGTGCAACACATGTTGTATTAATAGAGAATTTCAAGACGGTTTATAATATTCGCGTGAGCTCTTAGAACTTATAGACGTCATACTTTTCCGATAAAATCTTTAGCTATACATACGGCATCTCACGTCTCAGATACATATCACGGCGCTGGAAGAAGTGTTGAGTCAGAAAGGTTAGCGCGTAGATTTGAGTCTCATATTTGTGCGGTGGCTTTTTTGAGAGGTTCCAATGCAGCCGATGCTGCTTTCACTATTTAGCCTCTATCTCTTTTATGTTATTATTCAAGCTCAAAAAGAGCCCTAGGTAGAGTTCTCCTTCCATGTTATTCTCCATACTAAATGATCACCCGAAGCACACGTGTGAGGTGGGTTCCTTAATCGGAAAACTATCGAGTTTGCGCTGCTCAACTTTGCACCACTAATTTTTCATGAAACTATCTTGCCATTTATGTGTAAACCGATCATTTCTCTGCTCAGTTGGGTTCCTTAAACATCATCTCTGCTCCTCTTTTTCAATATCATGCCATCTCCAGAGAAGATTTAGTAGAAATGTTAACGCGTGCGCTTTTCTAGTCCCAGTCGAGTGACTCTATAATCCACTATATTGCGGCGGGAAACGGATTTGGCGATATCATATCGCCATTTCAAACTCCTATTCTAATGTGTAGGTAAGGAATCGATGAAAGCATTGTAATCACATGTTCGAATTCTGACTACAGTCTGATAGAGTTTTATGTAGGAGGCAATCACTTTTTCCTCGACGAGCGCTAATAGGACTGCACTTGTTTTCACATCATCAAATACTTCTTCTTAGCCAAAAACGCCTAAGCCATAAAAATGTTCCTCTGAGAGCTTTATTAAGCCAAATTTGTATTGAAGCACGCACCACTCTTCGTAGTCCGTTCGAATGGCGCGCCCAACCGAGGGTCATATTGTCCTTCATTGTGCTCAAAGGGATATTGTGAAATCGCTATCCACATACCGGCAACACAATGCTTTGGCATTAATGCTGCGTTAAACCCAAATTAACCTCTTTTAGCTGCCACAGCACAGTAAAAGGATGTTATTGAAAAATAAATACAGTATTGGAATTGGCGACATTCAAGCTGATGTGTGGTTACTAAAAGTCTAGAGTGAAACCTTTTTTCAGCGATAAATGTCTTGAAAGAAACGTAGTTTTGTCTTGGCTATTTGCAGCGCAATAATGAAACCGTTTAGAAATAACATACACCGCTGAAACTTTTGAAATTTGAGCTGTTAAGAGACTGTCAAGACTCAACGAAATATCAAAAGGCGCGCTCTTCTCAAGAGATGAAAAAAGATGCGGATCACTGCGATGATCTAAGTTTGTGAAACACGATCTACTTTTGTTTATTGCAGCTCAGGAAAAGCCCTTTTCAATGTCCAAATGTTTTTTGAAATTCACAAGATTTAATCCATCGACTGTATGCTAGAAGTCTAAAGAAAAGGCTTTGTGCAGCAAGAAATGTTCAGATGAGAAACATAGTATTATTTTTGCTGTTACAGCGCAATGAAAGCGCCCTTCTATATATAAATATCTTACAGATTATTTGAGATTCGTTCTGTTTAGATAACTTGTCAAACGTAGACAGAATATGCTCTTGAGTGGCTGAATTGTTATATGAAACTTTATATATACAATATTTTACTTAGATGTAAATGAGCAAAAGTGTGTAACTATCACTTTGAAAAACACCCATTGTAAAAAATGAATGCGGCTTTTTTGGCTATTTTTTTACAATCCCGTATAAACGTCATTGACGTAATAGTGCAATTATAGAAACCATTTCAATGATTGAGAAAGACAGATAATTACTTTTTAGCGCAGTATCTTGTCGTAGTACGTTAGACGGGCAGTATCTTGGCATGAATTTACAATCCAAAGATTGAATAGGGTAAGATAGCATGGAGTCTAACTTAGAGGTACTCTTATCGCACATTATTGTTCTTATGTTGACAAAGTTGTACAGTCGTAGATAAAAGTAAAAGGATAAGGCCCGCAGAGTATATCAAACCCTGAGGGAAGCGCCATGCATTCGTCTTCAATTTTTAAATCGTTTGAGGTGATTGAATGCATAACCTGCACGACTCGCAGTGGCCTTCCGCTGAACCGAGTCACTGCTGCTTACCCTCCTAGACAAGTCTGAGACCAGTTTGGTACCAATTTAGCGATCTCAGAGGGATGGATAACTTGGTGATCCATGAGCGCGCGATCGAACCATTGACCGCGTGTGCGACGCATGGCACCTCTAACCACTGCGCCATATGCACTCATGAGTAGTAGATAGCTTCCAGAAACTAGCCAAAATGACCATACCTATAGAGGTTTCTAGATAGAAAATATGTTTGATTGAAAATGAAGAACGTGATGGACCGTGGAAGAAATTGTAGTGATGACTTTGAGTACTATTCCTTAGCCTTATTATATGTCGCTGATATTATTATTAGACCTTCATCTACGAGGAACCCATTTTATGCGATCAATTCTCTCAGATCAATGAACATTCGTTTCCGTATTGGATAAATAAATCCTGATTCATTTTCTAGCAAGGACCGTGCGGTAAAGTGTTTTGAGATGTCCTGCAATGCATGTACGTCCGTTGATATGATCCATCCCCATGAGCTCATGAAATCTTCTGTCCTGCTAATGTAAGTAAACTGGCCTCAGACGTGTCTGGAATTGTTGATGCATCGATGGGATATTGATGTATATTGATGGCAAGTCATTTTTGAGTCACATTTGCATTCAACCACCTCTATAACGCCACATATGGAATTTACTGCGGGTCACATTCATTAGGAACAATCATTGCCAAAAGCTTTGTTTACTTTGTTGACAACATGTTTTCTGCTAGCGAATAGCTAGAAAGCCATCGGCATAGTATATGACAAAATGAACTGTAATCTGTTTATGCGTTTTAGGACACAATGGAGATGCTAAAGAATGCGAAAGCTCGTCTCGTTTGGAAAAGAAAGCGACATCAATAAACTATGAGGAATCAAAAATGATGCTGATATATTCGTACAAAATGTATATTAGATACATGAGATGCCATTCTACAACTCAGCAATTTTCTTTGTACAAATAAACTCATAGGGGATCATCCAGAAAAACACTCCTGACGCTTATGTACGTAGCTACAATCATTTTGTGAAACTTGAAGTTTATAGTCCCTATAATGTAATTAGCTAGCAGTGATATAAAACCAGTTTAGCGTTAGCTGAAGCATTCGAAGTACTGAAAAAGTTTCATTATCATTCAGGCTAATTTTTCTTTTCCTTTGAATGTTTTTTAGCTTAGCTATTGCGTTTTCTATTATTACTAGCACCATTACTATTTTTACTGAAATTATTATTTCCACTACAATTTCATTATTACCGTTATGATCGCAGCTGCGCTCAATATTTCACTTTCTGATTAGAAAATATTCGTAAATGTTTATATCGAAGTTCTACATCGATGGAAATATGCCGGTATCAGCTGAAAAATTACTTTGAAGGTAGTGCATTCCTCAATTTTTATCCAGCGCTCTAACGTCTGTTCAAACCTCAAACGCGGTCTTGCTTTATCTCAATTTCTTGCCTATGCGAGCTCCTAAATCGACATAACTGATGAGTTTCATAGCTAATTTTTGAACGGATTAATTACAGTGAAACATTTCTGTGCATCTGAAGAATGCTATCAAATTCGTTTCTTTCATTATCTTGTAGACAATCTAGTTCTTCGTGAAAAAGGAGGATGAATATCCAATGTCTCAAATGGTCACCTAGCTTGTTGCTACCGTCGAGTTCACGCAAAACGTATATAAATACACTGGTATTGACCAAAAACAGATCTTTATCGAACAGAATGTACTGTTATATGAATACAGAAATAAGCTCATTTAATTAGATGGTGCACCAGACTACTTGAAAAAAAGACAAGTAGCACAATATCTTTTAACAATTTGTCGAACTACCATAAAGTTGTTGGTAAGTCAATGTTAGATTTGTAACTTTGCATATTAGCACCATGAACACTTTACTATTCTGTGTTATTTCCAGAAACAATATAAGCTGTTTCGCTTCATATCTCTGAATCGTAATAGGAACAATGTTCTTGAAAGATTTTAAACGGTGGAATTTCAGAATTGAAAGTAGTCATTTTGGCAAATCTACCTCTCTGAATTCATATTGCACCTGTGCAGCTCATAGGCTGGAATAATAAACGGCTTGTAGGGACAAAGATGTGTTAACGAAATCACAATGAAACGTCAACCTAGAAAACTTTTCCATGGCTAAATTTACGTTGTAGTTTAGGAAAATCTCGGACACTGTCGATCATGGCAACAATGATTTAAAATGTGTGGTGTGCACAAATGCACTCACAACTTTCCGAGTCCATGCACCCAAACTTCAAATACATTTCATTTGCTTCAGATTTTTGAACAAAATGTTGGCTCACAGCTGATTGAGTCCATGACAGCTTCTCGAAGCTGAATGTGGAAGCGTTATGGTGTACACTACTCCTAGTTAGTATTTCGAAAATTCAATCGAAATTCCTTAAAGACTCCATCCTTATTGGCTAGCGGAAAGGAACCAATGCTTCTGCATGTTAGCCCGTGGCCACAAGAGCAGTGCCCATGTTGTAGCAGTTGAACGAGCTCAGCTACACTAGAGTTATACAATACTCTGCTAGTATCACTACTTCAACTCTTGAGACATGTAGTTTACCACCTATCAACATGCCGAGTATTTCAGCAGTTTCAGTTAATAAAATTTCTGTGGAGGTTTGGTAAGCAATCGAACGTATGATCTGCTTCTAACGACTATGCCATTTTTAGAAGTCCATAATTTCATGCTTTGCGTGGAAAAATTGCCCGCTAG